CTGTCCAGTGCGGCGAGTCATGCAGAGAGCTTTTGACAATGGAAGCCGCAACATGCTTTTGATTGGTATTCTTTTTAATTTACTTTAAAATGTACATAATTAAAAAATAAGTTGCTTTTAGGCGATTCTGGATACCCCTTAGAGCCATGGCTCATGACGCCTTTACCGAACCAACCTGAGGGTACTCCTAAATTTCAGTACAACGAGGCGCTATGCAAAGCCCGAAATCCAGTGGAGAGACTATTTGGTGTACTTAAAGGAACGTGGCGATGTTTATCGCAACAAAGGGTGTTGTTATACGATCCTGGTTTTGCTGGTAAGGTTGTGAGCGCGTGCTCAACCTTGCATAACATCCGTTTGGGCGAGCAAATAAATGAACTTGACAACAATAATATAATAATAGAAACACATGCACATGCAGACGGTACCGACGAAAATTCAAATTCAGTATCTTCCGTTGCAAAACGTGTCCAAGACCGATTAATTACTAACTTCTTCTCTTAAATACTTGATTTATTTTATTTTAAATTTAGATGTTTATCTATGCACTGATTTTGTCTCCTAACCACTTAATTTTTTTCTTCTAAATTTACATACAGTATTCGTAATTTAGTTTTTCAGAATGTTTTCAATCAGAAACCATTTTCTCAAATTTTTTTTTAAATATAGGTTATTCTATAACAAAGACGTTAGAAATATATCTTGCAAACTTTGTACAATATTCACAAAAAATAATCAAACTTTAAAAAATTGTCATCAAAACTTCAAACTTTTCATTCAGAATTTTTATAAAATTTTGGAGTACTCAGTTTTGTAGCCCATTCAATTTTAGTACAACAAAGTGCAAGTTTGAAGTCGTTACAAAATACCGTTTTTTTAGAATTTTTTTGTCGAGGGTGTGGCGCATTTTCTTCCATATAACGAATAAATAAAATCTATTTTTATATGGAAGAAAATGCGTAATTGAATGGGCTACAAAACTGCGTACTCCAAAATTTTGTAAAAATTCTGAATGAAAAGTTTGAAATTTTGATGAAAATTTTTTAAAGTTTGATTAATTTTTTGAATATTGTACAAAGTTTGCAAGATATATTTCTAAAACATTTTGAATATTTTGAAAAACTAAATTACCAATATTTGTGTGAGTTACTGTATACACTATTAACAGTATAAAACAAAAATTAAAATATGTTTGAAGGCTTTTGAAATTTTATATAACTTTCTAATCTATAAAGCACTTCGAACCTATTTAATTTTTTAGCAAATAACAGTAGGTGGACAATCAATAACGACCGAAGACAAAATACTGTATTTAAAAAAATTAGGAAGTTAAAACTTTTTTGGTAATTAATTCTGGAATTGGTTATGGCAAAAACACAATTTTTATAACAAATTAATAAAAAAGTTTCAACTGGCTAAATTTTTTTAAATACAGTATTTTGTCTTCGGTCGTTATTGACTGTCCACCTACCGTTATTTGCTAAAAAATTAAATAGTGCTTTACAGATTAGAAAGTTATATAAAATTTCAAAAGCTTGAAGGCATATTTAAATTTTTGTTTTATACTGTTTATAGTGATTATGTAAATTTGAATTATACTATATTAATGATGTCAAGTTCATTTATATGTAGATGCATACGGCCTTAGTCACTAGAGGTGTCAAACTATCGATAGTCACACCATCGATAGTTTTGATAGTTTTCAGAAAAACTATCAATATTCACGATAGTCTCGAAAAAAACAAAACTATCGATAGCGCTATCGATAGCGCTAAATCAGTTAGGTTGCTTTGTTTTACAGGTCATAGTGAAATAAATATTATCTTATAAAAGTTATAATCATTCAAAATTAAGTAACTGCTAAGCCAAAATACTTCTCTTTTTAGAAATTCAAAAACAAACACAAGTTATACAAACAAAACAGGATTTACGATTAACATATGTATGTATTTTGGGCTAAATGCGTGCATATTTGAATATGACGTCGGCATCACACTAAAAAACAAAATTTTTAATTCAAATTAAAAAATTCAGGTATTACCAACAATAGTTCGATAGTCCTACTAAACTATCGATATTTTTGATAGTATAAGAAAAAATTATCAATGAGTATTGATAGTCTAAAAAAATTGAAACTATCGATACTATCGATAGTGCCATCGATAGTTTGACAACTCTGTTAGTCACATAAAATAAGATCGATTTGAAAAGTTGGGCAAATTGAAAAATTTTCTTAAAATATCACTTAACACAATTGTATAAGTCTACTTAATACAATTGTATAAGTCACATTACGTGATGAGTTGCTCGTTCACGACTGTTACGATTCGACCCCTGATTTTTATTAGTTCTCTTCATCTTAAGATTAATATTAATTCAGTTAAGAATTCGACTTTTAGAAAATAAATGAATACAAAAAAGTATTAAATCAACGAAACGTTCAAGATTTTAATTTAAAAGGCGCATGTGAAATTAAGGTACATAAATTTATATATCTTAAATACTATGTCATAATCATCACAAACATATAATTCGAATTAATTTTATAAAATATACAAAGTATTAGGCACCCCAATATAACACAATTTTTTAAATTTTTCTTTTGTTTATTTAATGTTTATTATTTTTTTATAAAAGCCTGGCCTACATAGTAGTATTTAGTAGTTACTAAAAATCCCGTTAATTTTTGATGATTTTTTATGGTTGACTGTGATGAGCATTTTCTTACATTTAAAAAAAAATTCGAACATACTTTTTATGCATGACACCGTCAACCATAAAAAATTATCAAAAATTAACGGGATTTTTTAGTAACTACTAAATACTACTATGTATACTAGAATTTAATGGGCTACAAAACTGCATACCTAATTTTTTCCAAAGATTCTGAATAAAAAGTTGGAAATTTTGCTGAAAGTTTGTAGAGTTTTTATATTTTTTGCACAAAGTTTGGTATTTAGATTTATGTGTTTTTTGTTAGATAGTGGGCCAGGCTTTTATAAAACAATAATAAACATTAAAAAAAACAAAAGAAAAATTTTAAAAATCGTGCTACATTGTTGTGCCTAATACTTTTGGCCAAGCCTGTATATTTTTAAAACTTAAGGTACATACTTCAATCAGGTACAAAATAATTAATTCATTTAAAACATTAAAGGAACAAATAACTAATTCATTTTGAAAATGAAAAGAAAAACTATAAACTTAACTCTTAAAACTACTATTTACATTTCTTAATACTTAAAATACTACTATTTACTGATTGCCGAGAGTAGCCGAGAGTCGATGAAAAGCCTCGGCACAGGCTTTCATCCCTTCTCCAACGACGGTCATAGCCTGAGCCATCGCAAGCGTCGCCTCCGTCTGCCTTGCATTGTTTTCGGCCATCACCTATTGATAAAAAGTATATGTATATTAACACGATTTATATAAAACATATTTAATAATATTTACTTCTCACCTTCAAGACATCTGTCTGCCTCGTACTATTTTCAGCCACCATCTATTGAAAAAAAGTATATATTAACACGATTTATGTAAAATGTAATAATACTATACTAGTCGACAAGAAATCCGACCTGTGGTATTGGACCATAATTTTACACATACATATGTAAAATTTTCCGCTGAACCCGAATATGAAGGCAAGATATAAGAAAGTATAAAGTTTTTGAGATATAGCCAAATTTCGGTTTTTTGAAATCTGATAAAAGTTCTCTGAAGTTATTGCAATTTTCTTGGGATATAGTCAATCTGAAATGTCTTTTAAATTTGGAAAATATTAAAAACAATCGCAAAATTATGGGCTTTACTAAATTTAAAGAGATTTCGGTTTGGATATATCCCAAAAAAACTGCAATAACTTCAGAGAACTTTTATTTCTGTAAACTTGTGTATTTATTTCTCACCTTCAAGACATCGGCTTGCTTTTCAGCGATTTCCAGAAATTCTTTCTGGGCATCGCTCTCTTCTTCCGCCCGCTTCCTCTTCAAACCCCTACGCGGTGTCTGCGCAGAACTTTTAGGTGTTCTGGCCTGCACCTCGCTGTCGGCACCAAACTCTGATGCTGCCGTCACTGCATGGAAGAGAATTTCCTCCCCATCCTCCATGGCCAATTGCAGCTCCTTATAGTTCAAAAGTAAAATAAAAAATTAGTAAATAATAAAAGAAATAATTGTATAACTATAAGCTCACCTCTTCCAATTGCACATTATCGGGCACCGCTTCGTGACCCTCGATGTAGTTGCTCCCAATCAGAGCAATTACGCGCCTCTCCATATCCGTTAAAGGCGGCTGGTCGATCGGCCTGTTGCCTGTTAGAGCCTGCTGCCTCTTCCGGTCACGTACGCGTACGCTTATACGGCTTTTTAAATCGCGCCAGACCTGTTTGCAAAATAATGAAATACATAGATAACAAATATGTAGTATATAAAGCCTTACAGCTTATTCATGAATGACCAAGGAAATAAAAGTACAAATAAATTTACACAGGAAGCTCAAACAAAATTAAACAAAAGCCCCGGGGGAAATGTTTAGTTATTTGTACAACGATTTTGGGGTGGGGATCGGAGGGGG